AAAATTAAAGAAACAAAATATGAAGTTTACATGGAAACTAAAAAATCTTGAGTGTGGGATTAAGGCCAGGGGCATACCAACCACACAGAGCAGTGAGGAAGGGGTCTCCTAGGTTTAACTATGCAAGTTACAACTGGAGCCACAAGTGACCACAGTTGAGGTACAGAGGCTGTGCTAGCAAAAATGAGAGCAGAAAACCCACAGGGGTAGAGAAACAGTGACAGGGACCGCAGATGAGGTGTCAGATCCAGATTAAAATATTTTAGAAGGCACTACTTTTATTCTGCCAGAATTTTTAAGTACATGTGTTTAGAACTTCTGAGTACATTTGACAAAAGTGGCTAAAAGTTCCAGGCAGATGGGGGTTTGAATATGTATTCTGCTTCTTATTAACTGTGTTTCCTTGGGCTAGAAACTTGAACTTTGGGGAACCTGGTTTTTCTTATCTGTAAAATGTGCATAGTAACACCTACCTCAAAATGTTGCTGGAAGAATCAAGGTGTCTAGAGTGTAGCACCATGTTGGCAAGAGCAATGTCTCAATAAATGGTCGTTCTTATTCTTTTAAAAATTATTAGATTTATTAAGAGCCTCCTAATAAAACACACATATGCACGCACACACACATATAACTTAGCTAACAGATTTGGTAAAAAAAATCTTTGACTCCAGTTAGAATTGGCAGTCTAGATGGGGACAACTCATTGTTATTACGGATGCCTTGGCAATCAGGTTCTAATTCCCCAGACCACATTCTCCTTCACGTTGTCGGGTCTTTTTCCCTCCCGGTATAGCTGGAATCTACAGCCATCCACTGGGCAAGCCGTGGAGGAAACCTGGATGTTTTAAAATTGTTGCTGAACAAAGGAGCAAAAATTAGCGCCCGAGATAAGGTATTTCTTCTCCTCCTCTTCCCTTCATTCACCCCTTCCCCCTTCCTGCCACCCTCCTCCTTCTCCACTTGTCCCACTCTTCCTCCTCCCCTGCCCCTCCTCCTCTCCCCCACTCCATCTCTTAATCGCACCTTTCCATTAAAGTCATCAGAAGGCCCTTGCTGTGTGCAGACACCCTAGGGACCACTTCTCCCCCTCGCATGTCTTGCGGTCTGGTACAGCCTCTATCCTCATTCCTAGCGAATCAGCAGCGTTTTCCAATTTTCCAGTTGCTCAGCACAGCGCTGCATGTGGCGGTGAGGACTGGCCACTATGAGTGCGCGGAACATCTTATCGCCTGTGAGGCCGACCTCAACGCCAAAGACAGAGTGAGTAGCTAGACACACTCGGGTTTCCCAAAGCTTCATTTCTTATGTATTGGAATCACTCCCCCAAGCCTGGGTGCCCTTGCAGGACCCACTTCCTGGCCTTAGACCCACCTTGAGCCTGTTTACTCTGCTTCTCTAGGAAGGAGATACCCCCTTGCACGATGCCGTGAGACTGAACCGCTATAAGATGATCCGACTCCTGATTATGTATGGCGCGGATCTCAACATCAAGAACTGTGTAAGTACTGGAAACCAGAAACACTGCTTGCAAGCTTTCTAATTTCCAGAAGCATTTCTTAAATATGTGAAAAGACCTCCACAGTGGCAGTATTTGCCCCTGCCCCTTTCTCTGAGGACAGTGTTTATCTTGGTTAGGACTCAGGTCACATGGCCAGAGAAGGGGAAGTCATAGGTACTGCTATGACTTCGTGCCTGATAAGGTGCCTAATAATTCTTTTACAATTTGGTTTTGAAAATGAAAGATGGTCAAAATTTGCACATCCACACAAATACCTAGAAGTCCAATCTGCCTTGGCCAATCCTATCTGTTCAGGGGCTGAGAAAGTTAGAAGTAAAGACAGCTACCATTTCTGAAATGATCTAAAATTCCCCAAGGGTCAGTGCAGGCAATGAACTAAAGTTAATCCAATCTGAGTAATTCAGAAGGTCCCTTTCCTCCTTACAGCAATGTGAAATGTCACCATTTTCTTCCAGGGGTAGCTGTGCTTTTGCCTGTATTTTTTTTTTTTTTTTTTTCAGATAAATTCTATCTATTCTCCACTTGGATTTGTCTGCAGATCTCTCAAAATAATTTCCTATATTTAGGCCCTGAAAATTCTTGTATAAGTACATATTAATTTAACTTCATCTGTAAGCAGGGAACATAACCAACTTTTCCTCATGGTCTCAATTTCCAGACAAACACCATCTAATATAAGCTTTAAAAATATTGCCCAGAGGAACGGATATAAATTTCTGAAGTAACAGTTTTTAAGAAGCTTCTGAAGAATCACTTTACAAAAAAGGGCGGGGGGGGGGGAACTCTGTCATCATATAAGTGCAAATAATTTTCTACCCTATTTGTGTTGCCAAGACTGAGAGGACTATCTTATCATTTTTAAAAATCTGGCTTGGTGACAGGATCAAAGAATGGTGATAAATGAAGATTGCTTGGGATGGGAAAGTGTTAATAGTAGTGCTTCCTCAGGCTAAATATTGGAATTGATCTTATCTAATAATTTTTTTAACTATCAGAAAAAGGGCAAGTTCGATGAAATCTTGAAAGCTGCAGAAAATGTGACAATTTCATTTTTTTCAGGCAGTGAGATACTACCAGCAGAGACAAACAGCTTACAGGTTTAGGAAGACTGTAAGTCGCCAGAAAAATCAGGATGTAAATTTCAATGGAGAGAAACGCAAGGAATTTATGGAAGAGTAGCCCAAAATGTAAAAATAGGGCTCAGAGTTCTGAATTACCAGTTAGATCCTTAGCATCAGGATTATGGAACTATTAATGTCATTGACCCAATGGATTGTTCCCCCAAAGATCAATAACTGAGTGATGCCATCTTAAAGGAGCTTGAGAACAACATAGAATATTTTTTCATTATCCAAACTCTATATTCATGTCTACTGATGACTATTCCTAGAGAAAGGCTCTACAGAGGTGGAGAAGTTCCAAAATGAAGGTAATAGGGCCACTAATTTAAATACCTATAGATAGCATAATCTGACTTCAGGTTGGCCTTACTATGCCAGGCAGATGGCATAATTGTGGCTGCCAGTGTCTGTGCACATAACTCTTTTAAAGGTCCCCCTCCCCAACCCAGCCTATGTTGCTCTGTGGAACCACAAGTACCATGTTCTTAACTCTCCTGATGTTTTTCATAGAAGTCACAAATCCAGTTGGGAAATCTTTTGATTTCCAACTGTTGCCAATTCACACTAATCTTTACAAAAATCTAATTTCTGTTTGAGTCAAAACAAAACAGGTCTCTACTCTGGTTTGCATCTCAAAGCTGCAAATTTGCAGTCTCTGGGTTAAAAAGAAACTTCTCAATGAATAGAAATGGAAAATTTAGGACTTCTCGTACCTACAGATAAGAATTGAGAGATGACATGGTTTTAATATTTTTAAGTATCTTGAGACATGTGCATAAGGGAAATCAAATTTTGGTCTCAAAAATTATTTGTTTTCACACATGTCATTGCCATCAATTCCAAGAAAAATACATTTCCTGGGAGAGTTCATTGTAAATTCTGACAAGTTATGAAAAATCTGCTCCTGGGAACAGTAATAGTACCCACACGATACCTGAGTACTTAAGCCAAGTTATTGATGCAGTTCATTTACTATCATTTTTTTTTTTTTTTTCTGAGACGGAGTCTCACTCTTGTCACCCCAGCTGGAGTGCAATGGCACGATCTTGGCTCACTGCAACCTCCACCTCCCAGGTTCAAGCTAGCTATTCTCCTTCAGCCTCCTGAGTAGCTGGGATTACAGGCACGTGCCACTGCGCCCAGCTAATTTTTGTATTTTTAGTAAAGACAGGGTTTCAACATCTTGGCCAGGCTGGTCTCAAACTCCTGACCTTGTGATCCACCACCTCGGCCTTCCAAAATGCTGGAATTACAGGCCTGAGCCACCGCGCCCAGCCCATTTACCACCATTTCTTATCAATCAAAGCACTATCCTTCAAATGGATAGGAACTGATTCTTGGTTCAAGAGGGATGCTGCCACCTCTAGGAGCCCATTCCACAAGATACTGGAAGATGTATGGGGACATTTTATAAATTTCAGAGTGACTTGGGGTGCTCTTGACACTTAGTGTCTAGGTAGAAGGGATTTTACCAATACCTGAGATGGTCCCATGTGAAAAAGACTGCTACTCTAAAATGGCAAAAGGATCCCTCTGAGAAACAGTGAAGGGCTGGTTTGAGTATAAACTGCAGATCACTCCTAGTGGAAACTGTAAAACACTGTGATAACATATACCTATTCCTTACCTCATAAAACACACACACAGAATGTTAATTTACAGATGTCAGCCACCTGAAAGTCAAGTTTCCTTATCTCGTTTGATTAGGCTGGGAAGACGCCGATGGATCTGGTGCTACACTGGCAGAACGGAACCAAAGCAATATTCGACAGCCTCAAAGAGAACTCCTACAAGACCTCTCGTATAGCTACATTCTGAGGGAAACGACAGACTCTGATCAGTAGCTGTTCACTGGCATTTTGAAGGCATGGCACAAGAGAAGAGACACTAGCCATAAAATCTAGTTTTTATTTATCAACATATTGTGAAGATGTACCTAATGAAGTTTTGAGAAAGCACAGGGTTATAGGTGTTTAAATTTCCTTTAATTATTTTTATGTATTCCTGTTTATTAACTGGCACACTACTGATAGACAGACCTTCATGATCATCCATTTGGTGAGCAGAGCTTCATTTGTATGTAACACTTCCAGAGCCTTCCAATAGGTAGTTCTTAAACCAGGGGGAAGAGCAAAGTTCAAGTGCCTACTTATGTGTCATTCGCTTATGTAAGAGTTTTTAAGAGAGGGTTGATTATTGCAGCCCTCTTCTATCCGGAATTTTTAATGCAGAAGTTTGAATGAAGCAAGGGACAGCATGTTGGGACAGGAGTGGAAACAATGGAAGGAAAGTGATTCTGTGAAAAGGACAGTGAAGCCAGCCATTTACCCCCAGGCTGGTTTATTTATTTATTTTTTAATGAGTACACAGAGTACCCAGGTGAAGGGAATGTCATGAGTGTAAGTGCAAAGCAGTGGAAGGAGAGGCCAAATGGACCATGCAGAATTGAATACGCTAAAAAAAAAAAAGAAAATGCAAACTGTAAATGTGTAAATGTATATTGTATTGTATGTACATTTTATATTCATAATAAAAGCAAGCAAACTCCAAACCTCTAAGTCCTTCTGTAAGTGTGGTGGGAATGTCCTATGTGGGAAAATAAAAGCCATATAGGAGGGTTTTTTCCCCATTGCTTCCCCAAGTTTTGCAGAGTAGAAATGTCCCGTACAACAGCACTCCCAGTATTTCATGGGTATACAAACCACCTAGGGATCTGGTTAAAATGCAGACTCTGATTCAGCTGGTCTCAGGTGGGGCCGGAGATTCTGCTTTTCTGATAAGCTCCCAGGTGATAGGCCATGGAATGCCACCACCTAGGCTGAGAGTCACAAAGATACAAAGAATTCCAGTGAGCTTTCAGTCCCAGTGATGTGTAGAAAGAGACCCCTGGTGGTCAGAATGATTTCTGCATGGTAAACCTGCATTCCCTAAGAAGATCCCAGCAGGGCTTTAACTAGAGATTTTTTTAAATTAAAATGTAAATTTTAAGCTCTGGGGTACATGTGCAGGATGTGCGGGGTGTTACATAGGTAAACATGTGCCGTGGTGATTTGCTGCACCTATCAACCCATCACCTAAGTATTAAGCCCAGCATGCATTGGCTACTTTTCCTAATGCTCTCTCTCCCCCCACCGCACCCCCGACAGGCCCCAGTGTATTTTGTTCCCCTCCCTGTGTCCATGTATTCTCATTGCTCAGCTCCCACTTATAAGTGAGAACATGCTGTGTTGGGTTTTCTGCTCCTGTGTTAGTTTGCTAGAAATAATGGCCTCCAGCTCCATTCATGTCCTGCAAAGGACATTATCTCATTCCTTTTTTTTTTTTTTTTTTTTTTTTTTTGAGACGGAGTTTCGCTCGTTACCCAGGCTGGAGTGCAATGGCGCGATCTCGGCTCACCGCAACCTCCGCCTCCTGGGCTCAGGCAATTCTCCTGCCTCAGCCTCCTAAGTAGCTGGGATTACAGGCACACGCCACCATGCCCAGCTAATTTTTTGCACCTTTAGTAGAGACGGGGTTTCACCATGTTGGCCAGGATGGTCTCGATCTCTCGACCTCGTGATCCACCCGCCTCGGCCTCCCAAAGTGCTGGGATTACAGGCTTGAGCCACCGTGCCCGGCCTATCTCATTCCTTTTTATGGCTGCATAGTATTCCATGGTGTATCCCTACCACATTTTCTTTATCCAGTCTATTATTGATGGGCATTTGGGTTGATCCCATGTCTTTGCAATTGTGAACAGTGCTGAAATGAACATATGCATGCATGTATCTTTGTAATAGAATGATTTCTATTCCTGTGGGTATATACCCAGTAATGGGATTGCTAGGTCAAATGGTATTTCTGGTTCTAGATCTTTGAGGAATCACCACACCAATTTCCACAATGGTTGAACTAATTTACATTCCCATCAACAGTGCAAAAGTGTTCCTATTTTTCTGCAACCTCACCAGCATCTGTTATTTCTTGACTTTTTAATAATTGCCATTCAGATTCTACCCATCTGGTGAAGGTCTAATATCCAGAATATACAAGGAACTTCAACAAATTTACAAGAAAAACGACCTCATCAAAAAGTGGGCAAGGACATTAACAGACACTTCTCAAAAGAAGACGTTCATGTGGTCAACAAACATATGGAAAACAAAGCTCAACATCACTGATCATTAAAGAAATGCAAATTAACTAGAGATTTAACAATTCTTTTGGACAGGGACTGGCAGTGTCAAAGTCCTCCCAGGAGAGAATACAGACCACCACAGGCTAATATCACAATGAGTCACAATGCTTTTGGTTTTCTAGTGCATACAAAAGTTATGTTTATATTATTCTGTGGTTTAATAATTGCACTATAGCATGATGTCTAAAAAACACCATACATACCTTAACTTAAAAATATTTTACTGCTGGCTGGGCGCGGTGGCTTGCGCCTGTAATCCCAGCACTTTGGGAGGCCGAGGTGGGTGGATCACGAAGTCAAGAGATCGAGACCATCCCGGCCAACATGGTGAAACCCAGTCTCTACTAAAAATACAAAAATTAGCTGGGCATGGTGGCACACACCTGTAGTCCCAGCTACTCAGGAGGCTGAGGCAGGAGAATTGCTTGAACCCAGAAGGCGGAGGTTGCAGTGAGCTGAGATCGCGCCACTGCACTCCAGCCTGGAGCCTGGCGATGGAGCAAGACTCTGTCTTAAAAAAAAAAAAAAAAAAAAAAATTTAATGCTAAAAAGTGTTAATGGTCATCTGAGCCTTCAGTGATTCATAATCTTTTTGCTAGTGGAGGATCTTTCCTCCATGTGGATGGCTGCTGACTGATAAGGGTGGTAGTTGATGAAGGTTGGGATGGCTGTGTCAATTTCTTAAAAGAAGACAAAAATGAAACTTACCGCATCAGTTAATTTTCTTTCATGAGAGAGTTCTCTGTACCATCCGATGCTGTCTGATAGCATGTTACTATCAACAGAACATCTTTCAAAATTGGAGTACATCCTCTGAAACTCTGCTACTACTTTATTCAGTTGGTGTAATATTCAAAATCCTTTTTTATCATTTCAACAATGTTTCCAGCATCTTCACTAGGAGTAGATTCCACCTGAAGAAACCACTTTCTTTTCTCATCTGTAAGAAACAACTCCTCAACTGTTTAAGTTTTATCACAAGATTGCAGCAATTCAGTCACATGTTCAGGCTCCACTTCTAGTTTTCTTGCTATTTTCACCACATCAGCAGTTACTTCCTCTACTGAAATCTTGAACTCCTCCAAGTCATCCATACAGATTGGAATCAACTTCTTCCAAATTCCTGTTAATGGTACTTTTACCTCCTCCAGTGTCCCACGAATGTTCTTAATGGCACCTAGCATGGTGAATTCTTTCCAGAAGATTTTGAATTTACTTTGCCTAGATTCATCAATGGAATTGCTATCTATGGCATACAGCCTTATGAAATGTATTTCTTAATAAGACTTGATTCAAAATGCTCCTTGATCCATGGGCTATAGAACGGATGTTGTGTAAGCAGGTATGAGAACAACATTCATCTCCTTGTACATCCCCATCAGATGCTCATCTCTATCAGAACTCTTGGGTGACCACGTGCATTTTCAATGAGCAGTAATGTTGTGCAAGGAATCTTTTTTTTTTTTTTTTTTCCCTGAGCAGTAGGTTTCAATGATGGGCTTAAAATAGTCAATAAACCATGATATAAAAAGATGTACTATCATCAGGGCTTTGTGGTCCAATTTATAGAGTAACAGGCAAAGTCGATTTAGCATAATTCTTAATAACCCTATCAGAATGGTCAATGAGCATTGGTTTCAACTCAAAATCACCAGCTAACAAGGGAGTCATCCTGTCCTTTGAAGCTCTGAAACCAGGCATTGACTTCCCCTGTCTAGCTATCAAAGTCCTGCATGGCGTCTTCCAATAGAAGGCTGTTTCATCTACCTTGAAAATCTGTTGCTTAGTGTAGCCATGTTCATCAGTTATCTTAGCTAGCTCTTCCAGCTCTTCTGGATAACTTGCTGCAGCTTCTCCATCAGCACTTGTGCTTCACCTTGCACTTTTATGTTACAGAGACGGCTTATTTCCTCAAATCTCAGGAACCAGCCTCTGCTAGCTTCCAGCTGCTTTTCAGCAGCTTTCTCACCTCTCAGAGTTCATAGCACTGAAGTTAGGACCTTGCTCTGGATTAGGCTTTGGCCTAAGGCGTGTTGTAGCTGGTTTGGTCTTCTAGCCAGACCACAAAAACTTTCTCCAGTCAGCAATAGGGCTGCTTTGTTTTGTTATTATTTGTGTGTTCATTGGAGTAGCATCTTTACTTTTCTTCAAGAACTTTGCCTTTGCATTCACAACTTGAGTAAGAGGCATAGTTTTCGGCCTGTCTTGGCTTTCTGCGTGCCTTTCTCAATAAGCTTAATCATTTCTAGCTTTTGATTGAGACTGAGAGATGTGTGACTCTTTTTTTCACTTGAACACTTTTTGCTGGTCCATGGTAGGGTTATTAATTGGCCTAACTTCAATATTGTTTTGTTTCAAGGAATAGGGAGGCCTGAAGAAAGGGAAGAAAATGGGGAAAGTTGGTCAGTGGAGGAGTCAGAACACACAACAACATTCATGGATTAAGTTCACTGTCCTGTATGAGTCCAATTTGCGGCTACCTAAAACAGTTATGATAGTAAAATCAAAGGGTACTAACCACCAAAACACATGTAATAATAATAAAAAAGTTTTTAATATTGTGAAAATTACCAAAATGTGATGAGAGAGACAGGAAACAGGCACATGATGTTGAAAAAATGGCACCAATAGACTTGCTGTATACAGAGGTGCCACAAATCTCCAGTTTGTAAAAAAAATCCCATATTTGCAAAGCACAATAAATCGAAGCACAATAAAAGGAGGTATGCCAGTAGTTTTTTGAACAGGTGGTAAGCCAGGTCCTAAGACCTGTGATGAGAAAAAGAGATTGTCCCTGGCATGCCCTCCTGGAATAGAGGAATATTAAATGAATAATGAGGAATAAATATATAGTCATGTGCCACAGAAAGATGTTTCAGTCAATAATGGACCACATATACAGGGGTGGTCCCATAAGATTAAAATGAAGCTGAAAAATTCCTATCACTTAGTGACAGCCTAGCTGTTGTAACATCATAGTATACTGCATTACCTTTTCTGTGTTTGTTTAGATACATAAAACAGTTACCATTGTGTTACAGTTGCCTAGAGTATTCAGTACAGTGGCATGTTGTGCAGATGTGTTGCCTAGGAGCAACAGGCTGTACTGCTCATAGTAGGCTGTATCATTTAGGTTTGTGTAAGTAACACTGTGATAATCACACAACAAATCCACCTATGATTCACCTTTCAGAATGTATCTCTATCCTTAAGTGAGGCATAAGTGCACAGTGTCAGTCTGTAGTAAATATGATGAAGGAAGCAATACAGAGTGCCACGAATGTCTAAGATGAGGAGGTTTCTATAAAGACTTCTTTGAGGTGGTAACCTTCAGGGTTTGTCTGAAAGATAAACAGGAGTTATTCAAGCATCAAGTGTTCCAGGTAGCAGGAACACTGCTCTATGGAATAAAGCAAGGGTATGAGAAATGTTTGGCACTTGTGGAAATACATGAAAGCCCATGAAGTCTGATGTGAAACACTAGCACCAGGAGACCCACTTCGTATAGGATCATCTATGTTAACCTCTTTTATATTCCTCTAACCATTTGGGAGAGTGTATAGGCATAGTCCATAATCAGAAGGTCTTCTAATTAATCTGGTCGTAGACACATACAGAGTTGTGAGAATGTTTTGAAATATTTTCGTACCTTTTCCATCTAGTGTTTTGCAATCCAGGGAGTGTACCTCCCACAGGCATTGAGGATATCGTTGTTATCTCTTTTGACTCCCAATCCTCTTTGTCCACCCCTCTACCTTCCCCACAGCGTTCTGGCTTAAGTTTATCAGACTCTTAAGGCTCAGGGTTCTTCAGTTTCTTCCAAGTGAAGCACTTACAACACGGACATTTCTCTTGCTAGTGCTGATGTCTCCTGTGGCATAAGTTCGATGTGTTACTGCCATGTGACCAATTTTTCTTTATGGTATCTGCCTCAAATCCACCTCCCCTAAAGAGCTGGGAGTATAAATGAGAGAAGAGAATAAAGAGTTAAAAAGTTTTGTGTTGCCATATATAAATATTTGCACTAATAACTAGGTAGAGGGCATGGGAGATAATATGGAATAAATCCCATTAGAATAAGACCAGTGCTTAGTTATCTTAGTTATCTCTGCTAACGGAAAAGATAAACACGTTGGGAAAATTTTTCAAGTTTTTAATCACATAGTCATTTTTAAAAATAAGGTTCTCTTCTTGCCTTCCCACTGAGTCAAGTCTGCCCAAAATCTTTTGTGTTTGCTCTCCAGTGAAGGGCACATCCCATTGGCCAATGGAGAGTCCTAGAAGTTGTTTTTGATCTTCTTTCCCTCACCCTTCTCTTTCAGTCAACCACCAGGTCTCACCAAGTATACTATGGAAGTAGTGCTGTGATCTTGCTGTCTTCCATTCCTATGTGCCTCTGCCCTAGTTCAGGTTGCAGTTACTTCTCATCTGGATCACGCGATTAGCCCTCCTAGGCTCCTGGCCTCCAGGCTTGCTTACCTCCAGCCTGTTTTTCAAGTAGCAGCCAGAGTGCTTTTTCTAAAATGCAAAGCTGATCAACTCACTTTCCTCTTTCAACCCTTTGATGGCTTCACATTTCCCTCAGGATGAAATAAAAACTCCTAAAAATGTCTTACAAAATCCTTAAAATCTGGCTGCTGTTAACTCTTTATTCTTATCTCTCATTACTTTCCTAGCCAAACTCTAAATTTCAACTCAACTAAATTTTCAGCTCCTTAAAAAATCCAGGCACTTGCTTTACTGTTTTCACATACTGTGCCAGCTCCCTGCAAGTCTCTTCTTCCCACCACAGCCCACTCTGCCCCGTCACATCACTTCTCCTCATTCTTCCCCTTTGGTCTAGCTGCATTTCCTCCAGGAAGCCATCCTGAGCCCTTAGATTTTGTTAGTTCCCCCAGGTGTCTTTCTGCTGTACTTTGCTTTTTCCCCATGTAATAACACCTGTCATACTGCCCTCCCTCTCCTCTTGAACACCCAGTACTCATTATGCCAATACAGAAATGAATAACAAAGGGAGCAACATGTCACCAATAATTCTGGTTTCATGACATTCTGATTATTTCTGTGCACACTATGTATGGGCTTTATAATATATGTGTATTTAGTTTTATAACTTTTTCATCCGAACGACTTCTTCTAGACCTCTTTATAGACAGTATTCTTTTGTTTCAATGTATAATGGATTATTTAATCCTATTATTGGATATTTAGGTTGTTTCCATTTTCACATTATTTTAGACATTGTTACAGTGAATATCCTTATCCATCCAGCCTTTATAATTAACCAGTTATTTCTGGATAATAAATTTACAAAAGTAAAAGATTTGCATCAAATTATATCCCCTTCCACAATGTTACTGCCTTTCCCCACCATCTTGAAAATATCCACTTTATAAATCTTTTTTTCTTTTAACCTGATCAGCCAGATACATTTTTGGTGATTTTCCCCTACATGACTAGAGTTCAGCACCTTCTTGCTTACCGGACATTTAAAAAATCAACTTTATTTGTCCAATTTTCTAAGTCAGGTCTCCTGGAAGCAGCATTTGAAATTAGGATTCTTGTGCAAGTGACTTACTGAGAGTCCTCTGTAAGGGAATGAGAAAAAAACAGAACATGGCAGAAGAGGCAAAGACGTGGTTTCAGGAGAAAGCCACACTCAGCCTAATCCCATGGGGTGCTCAGGAGCATAAATTGTACCACTGAAGCAGGTGGGCTGGGCTGTAATGTCCTGCATCAGTCACTGGCCATGGGCCAATCTCAGAGGAGACAAAACTTCCCAGGCATCTCCAGGTAAAGTAAAGTGACTTCATCAGCCCAGGACAATCCTCTGGAGAAGAGTGAAGATAAGTCATTAGTACCCAACATCTTTAGCACCTGTAAACCTGGGACCACCACCCTGCGAATGGGGATCTGCGTGGATGCTAATAGCATGTCATGTTGGGTATTAAACCTTCCAGGAATATGCATTGTAAATGTTCTTTCCTAGTTGTTTGTATGTAGAGACAAATCAATCAAACTTTGTTTTCTGGCTTTGATGACCATGCTTAGCAGGTCTATTCCAATCCAAGATCACTATTTTTTTAAATTAACTTACATTTTCCTCTAGTATTTTACAAGGTTTTAAAAAAATTTAAGTCTTTAATCCCCCTTTATTTACTATAGGTGTATACTGGGTGCAAGATAGAGATTTGACTTATTTTTTTCATAAATAATAGCCAACACTTCAGTATTCAAATTAATATAATCAAATAATAAATAATAAAATAGTGGGTACTTTTTTTTTTTAAGACAGAGTCTTGCTCTCTCGCCCAAGCTGGAGTACAGTGGCGTGATCTCTGTTCACTGCAACCTCCGCCTCCTGGGTTCAAGTCATTTTCCTGCCTCAGCCTTCCGAGTAGCTGGGATTACAGGCATGGGCCACCACACCTGGCTAATTTTGTATTTTTAGTAGGGACAGGGTTTAGCCATGTTGGCCATGTTGGTCTCAAACTCCTGACCTCAGGTTATCCATTTGCCTTGGCCTCCCAAAGTGCTGGGATTACAAGTGTGAGCAACGGTTACTGGCTGTAGTTGGTACATTTTATACGATAGGCCCTGTTCTAAGAAACCTTCTATAAATACTAACGTACTTAACCCTTGCAATAATGTCACAGGGAGGGAGAACAGATGAAGTGAGGCAAAGAGAGATTACATAATTTGCCCAAGGTCATAGCTAATGCGATACTAGCAAATTAGGCTTTTAACGCATGTACTTTTTCTTTCCTCTGTGCACTTAACTGGTATGCTGTACTGCCTCTCCCAAATGGATAACTAATCATTTCAGTATCACTTACTGAACAATCAATCCATCACTTCTTTTTATAACTAAAATGTGATCTTGGACTCCCTACTTTCACTGTTCTTTCTGAATTTCTGCACCAATTAGTTCTTTACAGTACTAGAGTTTTGCCATACTCTGTGATATTCAGCATTGTAAGTCCCCTCCATTAGGTTTTTCTCTGAAATTTCCAATTCTCACATTTACTCTTTCAGAATACCAAGACCAAACACATAAACAAGAAAAAAAAAATACAGGCATTTTGATTTTAAATTTTGTTAACTGCATAATTTTGGGGAGAATTTGATTTACAATTTGTCTCATTCAAGAAAACAGAATGTATCTCTCCATGTATGCTAGTCTTTATTTTCCCTTTATTTTCTTAATATTTTCATAGTTTTCTTTATAGAGGTCCTAAACATTTCTTAGTAATTTATGTCTTTGTGAATAGTGTCACCTTTTAAAATTACGTAACAGGTTATTAATCAAAACTACTGGTTTTTGTGTATTTATACATAATTGGCCACTCTGCCAAACTTCCTCTTGGTTTGGCAGAGGTATTGTCATCCTGTAGCAATTAAATTAGTGGTTCATTCTAACAAAAGTAAATATTAGAAGGAAACCTGCCCCTGCTATTCACTGGTGACCAGCCATCATATCCTACTATTGTGAACAATGGCATAAACATGTATTAATAAAAAGCAGGCATGACTGCAAACACATACTACACAAATATATAGTAAATGGACAGAAGCTGAAAGGTACCTATATTTCTATTGTTTTCCCCATTTACTTTGAGTTTTCCAAGACAGTCATATCTACAAATAATTGTACCTCCTTTCTATAATATGAAAATCTTATTTTATCTGGTGCAACAATAGCTAGTACATCACTAATTCATAACTTAAGGTGGGACATCACAAAAAATTAAACATATATCCTGTTAAGCATTTTGAGTTTAAAACATAAATGTATACTCAGGTACCAATCTTTTAAATAAGGGTCAAAGCCTGTTCTTGGGAGTATGGATACACTGATGAGAGATCCAAAGTCGTCTTTCTTGAATTCTAGTCCCTTTAAAACACAAAAGGAACGTGACATTAGTGAAGCAATCCAAGAGTTTTTATTGATCACCCCCAAATCTTGTTATCCTTCTCACACCTGATTTGACAGCAGTTCTTTGTAATGATTTATCTTTTCCAAAGATTTCCAATGTGTTGACTTAGTTTTTCTGGCACTTCTTTATTTGCCCTCAGTAGTTCATCAATTTTCATATTTTAAAAAATTAATTTACATAAAATGCTAAATACAGCTGGCATAAACAGATTTGTGAATAAACACAGTTGACTTTTGGTGAACTTAAGTGGGGTGAAGGCAAAAGCAAACTGGGGCACAAGGAAGTGGCAGACTTTTGGTGTGTGGGCTCAGCAGCAGCAGCCTCAATTTTACAGAAGGAATGGATAGGCTGATCCATCAAATTGGCCAAGTGGTAGTCAAAAACACTTTTGGAGCCATCACACTTAACAGGCACAAAAAAATAGACACTATGAACATATCTATGTATGCATACAATATTCTTCTACTTGAATTTTGCCAAGGGTTTTTATTGTTATCATTTTAAAAATCAGGAGTGGATTTTAAACTTTATTAAATGTCTTTTTGACATCTATTAAGAATATTCTGATTTTTCTCTTTTGACCTATTAATATGCAAAAGGATACTGCATTAAAAAGAACTAGAAGGCCAAGTATGGTGGTTCATACCTGTGCCTGTAATCCCAGCACTTTGGGAGGCTGAGGCAGACGGACTGCTTGAGTACAAGAGTTTGAGACCAACTTGGACATGGCGAAACCCCATTTCTACAAAAAAAATACAAAAATTAGCCAGGATGTGGTAGTACATGCTTGTGGTCCCAGTTACTCAGGAGGTTGAGCTGGTAGAATGGCTTGTTGACACTCCAGCCCAGGTGACAGAGTGATACCCTGTTTCAACAACAACAACAACAACAAAGAATAAATCTCACAAAAAAAAAAGGAATAAATGATGTACTCTGTTTTAATGTTTTTAAATCAATATTTTATTTAAACATCTATATTCATTGATGAGGTTATAAAGTTTTCTCTTTTTAAAATTATATTTTCTCCAAACTGCAGAACAGTTTTCTTTCATTTAAAAAAGTTTCTTATTCAGTTATACCTCTGGTTCTACTCCGCTGTGTTTTAGAGCCCTTACATTAATATTACATAAATGCAGACATGTGCAAAAAAAGCTACTTGTACTTAACATGATCCTGTTACAAAAATAAATTATTTCCAAAGTTGATTGAGTCCAGTGCTTTGCTATTGTAATACAGCTATTAGGAAAATCAATATTAGGTGTTTAGGAGTTCTAACTAAAAGGACTCCTATTTCAAAGACCTCATAGAGGTATGAAGCAGTGAAGGAAGAGTCCAAATGTAATTTTACATGTGCATCCTCTCTTCTTCTACAAACTCTACAGCAATTCCTTTTAGAAAAAAAAAATATTGATTTGATGAATACATGAGAGAGGCTTAAAACATCAACTAAAAGTCACTTCTTCAATATAAGTTTAAATATTTTCAAAATAACTACTATTTGAGAATGAACAAGAAACTTTTGAAAGAAGCTCTTAAAATATTCAAACATCTGGCTACACTGGTGGTCCATGAAATCCCAACACTTTAGGAGGCCAAAGTGGGAGAACGGCTTGACCCTAGGAGATTGAGACTGGCCTTGGCAACATAGTGAGACCATGTCTCTACAGAGAAAAAAAAGCCAGGTGTGGTACTGTGCACCCGTAGTTCCAGCTATCTGAGAGGCTGAAGTGAGAGGATCGCTTGAGCTCAGGCTTGAGGTTCCAGTGAGCTGTGATTATGTCACTGTACTCCAGCCTGAGTAACAAAGCAAGACTCTATCTCAAAAACAAAACAAAACAAAAATACCTGAAACATCTTATTCAAGTGTATCTGCTGTTATCACTTACATAAAGGAGAAATAAATAGTCTTTCTCTCTTAAAGTACATCTAAATTCATTAAGCTGGCAGTCTTTTGAAAAAAAAAATGCTTCGCTAGGTTTTGTTTGTTGCTTTAATGGATTGGAAGTAAAACTGTTTTTATAGACTATTGATTTCTAGCTCCAAATGAAAACAGTAAATCACACAAAGGTTTTCTCTTTGTTGTGGCTGATGAAGTATAAAAGGGAAGAAGGGACTGCTGACAGACACTGGGGCATTCTTTTCAGCCCTCACACTTGGCTTTCTTGGGAGCTGGAAGACAATCTTCATCCCCTTCTGATGGCCGAGGTTTCTTCACTGTAGAAATAATTCCAAAAGCAGTTTTTCTAGTTTCTGTAAAACGGGGAAACCATTGTGCTTGAAGTTAAGACATAATTTAAAAGGAGGTAGTTTAACATATTACTTTGGCTTACAGTACTAGTAAATGATAAGCCATGATAAACTGTTATGGGTGCTAGTGTCATTTACTGTCATTATCTTTTTTCCCCAACATACACAAACATCAGTATATTATTAACATTTAATTTATTCCTAAAGATCACCTCATGCATAAAACAGGACAGTGTTCTCTCTAATGGTCTGTCCATGACACCTCATGTAACCAGAACCCAAGTCATAGACATTGGTGTAGCAGATGCTTTATATATGGTAGACAGACAGACAAATCAAGAGAGGAGACACAGCAGTTGAGTGTATGGCTCCCAGGTGGAGCACGTGCTTGCCTTGTTTTACAGCATGTACCCTATCTCTCTAATTACAACATCAAGGTACCTCTGAAAGAATCAATTGCATTGTATTGTGAACACTCCACAATGGCCTGGTTATGCAAAAGGTGTTCAATAAATACGAGTTGAGTTAATGAATAAAATCAAACTCATAAATTTATTGATCTCTTATCTAACTGGTGACAATAAACAAAGAATAACTGGGAATTATTAGATGCTTAGATTAGGTTGGCAGCAGAATTCAACTTAAATTAAACCAATTTCTCCTAGAAACCTACTAATAGGCTAGGCAAACTGTGTCCATATACACAGGGTATTAAGATGTCTAACAGACAGTGCTTTTTCCTATAATACATGCATGTGAGAAGCACTGTAACAGCAAATATAATAGGAATGGAGGCAGCCACAAGAATTAACTGCCTGGATAAAGCAACAAGGTATTCATATAAAGGAGACACTACTTGGAATAGGGTAAATGGAATAAGAAAAGGAGAATATTCCTTTGCAAAGGCATGGAGAGAAAGGTAAGGAGAACCTAGATAAGATAGTTTAGGGGACAATATGGCTGGTATGAAGGAGGAATATGAAAAAATTAGGAGGAAATCAGGCTGGAAGAATAGCTTCCGAAAGGCCACAGTGTCATGAAAAGAGACTCAAACTCTGTCCTTAGAAATGCAATGGGATTATGAAGAACGGAGATACTCATTAGCTACAAAGGAGGCAGAATCAAAAGAACCTGAACAGAAATTTAGTTAAGAAGTATTTCTTGGCAGGGTGCAGTGGCTCAAGCCTGTAATCCCAGCACTTTGGGAGGCCAAGGCAGGCAGATCACGAGGTCAAGTGATTGTGACCATCGTGGCCAACATGGTGAAATCCCATCTCTACTAAAAAAAAAAAAAAAAAAATTAGCTGGGCGTGGTGGCATGGGCCTGTAGTCCCAGCTACCTGGGAGGCTGAAGCAGGAGGATTGCTTGAACCCGGGAGGTGGAGGTTGCAGTGAGCCGAAATCGTGCCACTGTACTCCAGCTTGGTGCCTGGCGACAGAGTGAGACTCTCTCTGTCTCAAAAAAAAAAAAAAACAAGTAAAGTCAACTCTAAAGCATTAAGCATTATTTTCCCATTTATCAAGATTAACTTAGCAAATCTACTTTGCCAATTATTTTAAAACAGTTTTATTTATAAAAGGGATAAAACTGCTTTCAAGGTCATTAAAATGACAACATAATGAGAACCTCAAAATAAAAACTGTCAATGATTTCCATTTCACCAAATGAAAAATGTCACACTTACAGCTATTAATTTATATCACTGATTCTGTACACAGTCTAAAAAATCAACTGAAATAAACATTGTGAAAATCAGCACTTTTTAACAAAATGCATTAATTTCTTTAGTGTCTTTTAAAAACAAATTTATTTCTCGGTAAGAGCAAGAAGTTACATTTGTGTATGCTTTTGTTTATAAAACGTTTTCACATATATTATTCCCTTTAATCATCTTGTCAAGGAAAATCTAAAAGATTGTAACTTTGTTCACAAGGGGCTAAGGCAGGTGTCCCCAACAGGTTCATTTTGGTCCAGGGGCTGATTATGGGCATAAACTTTGTCAATTATAGACCAAAGATTCTGACCTTGAGCCTCTTTCTTCTATCCCTTCCCCACAACCTCCCCAGAATTGCTACTCATTAGTTTCTGGATTTCTGGACCCCCAAAGAACCTAATTCTGATTCCCTGTGGCAAGCCTTCCAATGTTGAAAGGCCACTACTATGTGTCCCAAGTCTTCTGCTTGCCAGGTATCCATGTCTGCACCACCCTCATGATTCCTCTCATCATAAGGTTTTCAGACCCTTTAAGGACCTAATAGACATTTTCCAATAGTGTTTCAGTGCACTACCATCCTTCTTAAATGTGGCACTGAGAATGACACAGATGCCAGCTGAGATTTCATCAATGAGAGTATAATAATGAGACTTTAAATTTCCTTGCCTCAGAATCCTTTATTTCTTCTAATGTTACCCAAGCTGAATTAGCAATCTTAAGAACACATCATAATACCGTCTCATAGTGATCCTGATGGCAAATAAAACCAGAGTAACCATATTTTATCATCTAGTTTAGGACACTTTTCAGGTAATAGAAGTGCTAATAAGGTCACAGAAATGGCAGACATAAACTAGAACTGTCCTGGGCACATTGGGGTACATGGTAATGCCACCTGAAGTACACAAGTCTTCTTTAAGTTTAGCTTCTATAAAAGCCTGATTTTAGACACAGAAAGACAAACATCGCATGTTCTCACTCGTTTGTAGGGTCTAAAAATCAAAGCAACTGAACTCCCAGAGACAGAAAGTAAAAGGATGGTTACCAGAAGATGGGAAGGGTAGTGGGGGGCGGAGGGGGAGGTGAAGATGGTTAATGGGTACAAAAAAATAGAATGAACAAGACCTAGTATATGATAGCACAATAGGGTGACCATAGTCAATATAATTTAATCATATATTTTTAAATAACTAAAAAAGCATAATTGGATTGTTTATAACACAAAGGAGAAATGCTTGAGAAAATGGACACCCCATTTTTCATGTGATTATTGAATAGCTATGTCAAAATATTTCAGTACCCCATAAATATATATACATACTATATACCCATAAAAATACAGACATTCAAAAAAAATACATATTATATGTTATATGCTGAATAGCTGAGTTTTTAAAGTCAAATGCAGGACTACACACACACACACACACACGCGCACACACACACACACACACACATATACACAATTATATATGTATTTATATTTTGGTTTCTGTATCTTGTTTAGCCCCATTTTTGGAACCTAAGTGTTACTCAAAATCTTGATAATTGTTTATTTAAAACAGATAAAAATAATGACAGAATTACCAAAGTGTGAACCAACTGTTCCCCAATTTCAGGAAAATCATCATAAAAAATCCCAATTAATTTGATCACTCCCAGAGCTTATATGATGAGTTCTAGGCTACATAATACAAAAATCTCAATCTAAAAATGTTGAAACTAAAAGCAAAATCATCGAACTTATGGTTAGCCAATACAATAAATAGTTCTCTCAAATGGAAATCAGATCAATAAAGTCCAGACACAACACACAAGTCCTCAATAACCAAGCTATTCATATGACAAATAACTTAGTCTATATGCAGCAATCTATTCTGAAGTTTAATGTTCATTTGGGTGATATCAACTAAGTTGCTTCTTAACCACTATGACTAGTTCTAAGAATTATAAAGACAATGAAGACAAAACAGTAATCAAAAGCTTAAATTGTTTTAATAAAATTTCATTTTCATTTTCCAAAGTTTCAGCATACTTTCAATTTTTAACATCTGATGAATAAGAAATTCAGTCAGTGTAGCCGGGCACGGTGGCTCACGCCTATAATCCCAGCACTTTGGGAGGCCGAGGCGGGTGGATCACGAGGTCGAGAGATCGATACCATACTGGTCGACATGGTGAAACCCCGTCTCTACTAAAAAATACAAAAAATTAGCTGGGCATGGTGGTGCGTGCCTGTAATCCCAGCTACTCAGGAGGTTGAGGCAGGAGAATTGCTTGAACCCAGGAGGCGGAGGTTGCGGTGAGCCGAGATCGCGCCATTGCACTCCAGCCTGGGTAACAAGAGTGAAACTCCGTCTCAAAAAAAAAAAAAAAAGAAAGAAATTCAGTCAGTGAAGAGGTACATATACAAAACATGAGTTAAAAAAAGTACAGTCTGGCTGGACATGGTGACTCATGACTGTAATCCTAGCACTTTGGGAGGCTGAGGTAGGAGGACTGCTTGAGCCCAGGAGTTCAAGACCAGCCTAGGCAACATAGTGAGACCCTGTCTCTATTTTAAAAAAGAAAAAAAAAAGGTACAGTTTGTACACACTTGACCATGTAAGCAAACATGGGCAAAGAAACATTCTGAGTTTTAATAAATGTAAAAGTTACAGTCTGTGTTTTGTTAGTTGGTTTAAAAATGTATTTGCTGTTTTTGTTTTCTTAATAGTTTAACATATATTTTTTAACACATCAGTTCTCTAAAACAGAGATTTTCAACAGGGAAAGAATGCCCCTTCAGCAAGAAAGAAGAAGGAAGGGAGATTAGAAGCCTATCAAAATGTGGGCAGGAGCACACATGTATAGCTGGGAGGAACTTTTCAATACTCATTTCTGTAATGAAAGCTATATTCATTCTAAAAATGATAGAAAGTAAAGCCTGAAGTGAGGGTGAGAAAACACTAATGCTATGGTTACAACAGGTTGAGAAAAGATAACCCCAATGGAACTCTGCAGGGTAGAACAATAAAAATAGGTATGGCTTAACTATTTCATAAAAATGACTTGCTTCTAACATGAACATTCAGTTTTTACTGGAAGAACTTGCTTACCTCCGTGGAGAAGTGCTGCTCGGCAGTTGGTGGACACTGCAGCTTTGGCATCACTTTCAGAAAGGCCAAACAGCAAGCCTCTTGGGGAACATTAAAGATTTCAACCCAGAGTCAACCAAGGACACAAGACCAACACAAACATAACTCAAAGTGCCAGCTAACCTGGTCACATTGAGAGGCTAATTAATTCAACAGCAGTTCTTAGTCCAACTGGAACATGCATCTGAGAAAAGACTCATTTAACTTTAAGCTTTTATCATATGAAGTCCCTCATTCTCTCTTTTCTATCTCAGTATTAATTAGTATTAATTTAAAAAACAGAAGTATTAAGCTCTCTATAATGTTATATAATTTATTTTTGAAGCTATCAGTTGGTAATCTTACAGTAAAAGGTTGAGAAAAATAACATGTTAAACTATAATATGACTTCAAATTCCAAATTTCCTGAAAGACAATGTCAACAACTTTTTACTCAGAAAAGGATACAGGTTTGCCACATCATATGGCCCTCTTATTTCCAAAGGCTGACATAAAATGAACAAAAAGTAGAGATGAGAAAATTATTTATAACATTTCAATGACTTAGAGCAAATTAACAGAATACTTAAGTATCCAAAACCAAAAAAATTACATAAATTTAAGTCTCCTTACAATTTTGATGGGTTTTATAGTTTTTAAAAATCTAAGAGAAACCTGAAAAGCACTTTATAACAGTATAAAAGAAAAACTAATTATATAAACACAAGTTAAAACCTAAAGAAAATAGGGGTAAATTTTACTGTTTAGCAATTACAATGAGCAAATGTAATTAAAATTGAAAAAAAAAAAAGCAACAAATATTCATTTGCTATTTTAATTTATCCCCTAGAAACTACAGTTTTATAACCTGAAAGATGAAAACAAAGTACTTCATGCTAGACTTACCCTTTCTGCAGCACTAGATATAATTACATTCTACAAAATAGAAAGTAATTAATATTAATCTTAGATAAATGCAAAAAAAGGAAAGAGTTTCATAATATACATAGCCAGTAATCACATTTTAACATTTACCAACAGGCACAAATACCAACTTCTTTTAAAGATAAGGTACATAATTAAAGTGAAAAAAATGAAAGACTTTATATCAAACTAAAGGCAATCTATAACAGAAAACAGAGTATGTTTTCCTAATAGAGCTCAGTAAAGATGAATTAAGTTTAAAAAACAAGATGAGAAGGTTACATAATCTTTTTTTTTTTTTTTTTTTTTTGAGACTGAGTTTCGCTCTCGTTACCCAGGCTGGAGTGCAATGGCGCGATCTCGGCTCACTGCAACCTCCGCCTCCTGGGTTCAGGCAATTCTCCTGCCTCAGCCTCCTGAGTAGCTGGGATTACAGGCACGCACCACCATGCCCAGCTAATTTTTTGTATTTTTAGTAGAGACGGGGTTTCACCATGTTGACCAGAATGGTCTCGATCTCTTGACCTTGTGATCCACCCGTTTCGGCCTCCTAAAGTGCTGGGATTACAGGCTTGAGCCACCGCGCCCGGCCGGTTACATAATCTTAATTCAACTCAGTGATGCCAACAATTTTTATTCTAGACTTTTCTTTCACAGTATATAAATTGCAAATTTTTATCAAAAGATATGGCTTCCAACACAACTTTTTCTCCCTTACATTATTCTTTTCTTGGTATTTTTCTTTCCCTTAAAACTTGCAGAGCTCACTGAAATGGGAGAATTTGATCCTGTGCCTTGAGAACATTCTGCTTTAAGGAAAAGGAGTCAGTTTGACAATTCCAGTGTACTACTAATAATAAACTGCCAGATGCAAAAAACATCCTAGAATTATAGAACCATACCTTTCCTTTGCAGATTTGCATCAAATTGAGGGCATTGGAAATTGTATACCTTCTCATTGTGGAGTCTTTGATAGCAGGGCTATAGACAAGTTCAAAAGCCAGGCCTCGGTCAATTGCCTTCACAGAAAATAAAACAAACTGTCAGATATAAACATGCACTGGCCTACTTCATTTTCACTGATTCTCTCTTCACCTCCTTCCTCACCCTCTACCACCCACCTCTTACATGTCAAGGTACAGCTTTATGAAAGACAGATTAACAGTCAAATGGCAGTACCCACAAGGAGAATAAAATAAGCCCATGGCTCTATTTGAATAAGAATTTATCTTAGCTGTAGGGAAGCTGACTTTACATAAACAGGAATTATGAAGAGGCTAAGGAAAACAAAGTCCCAGTGGGGTGGCAGAGGGGCTATTACTCCATGAACTATCAAAAGGAAAACAGAGGTGTACTCCCTACATTTAAACTCATTTAAACTGTATGCGAATATAGTAAACCAAGTAATCTGACCCATGAATGTACAAAGAGACAAAGAAATAAAGAGCCCAAAGAACCAAGGGTGGGAAGGCCTTTCAGGTAAGTAATTTATTACCTATATGTTGAAGAGAGAAAAACAGCCATAGTTAATTAAGTGCTTACTATATATGCCAAGAGTCTTATGTATAATATTTAATCCTTACTACAATAACTTTGTAAAGCATGACTGAAAAGACTGCTAATTGGCCAGATATCTGTCCTCTCATTTTTCTTTAGTAATAAAGCTCCTGACTTTTAGCTGGGTTCACAGCTACCCAGGAAAAAAGATGGAAGTGCCCTTGAAGATTTTGCCGAGCTCATCATACAAGCTTGGTTTTTTGTTTTGTTTTGCTTTGTTTAAAAAAAAAAAAAAATTCAAACTCCAGCACCATCCATTTTCAGGGCTAGTTGATTTGGCAGGTGAGTTGTTACACACGCCTTAGCGGATTCTGACTTCCATGGCCAGCATCCTAAGCTTGTTTTTTTAAATGAGAAAAGTAAACTTCTTTCTTATTTAATGTACTCTTACTACATTGTAATCCACAGGTAAATGGATGAGTGGAGATGAGATTGAAATTAACCACTATGCTATTCAGCTTTCCTAATGAACACCTAAATGTCTTCATCCATTCACAAAAGATACGTTTTAAGCCCACTGTGTGCAAAAGCTGAGACAGTTCCTCCCTTCTAAAAGCTTACATTTTATTGGGGGAGATGATCAATAACCATACAAAAATACAAAATTTCAACTGTAATAAGTGTTATCAAGGAGAAGTTTAGATGGGGGTGAGGAAGAAATTGAGTAGTTAAATAGTAGAGAAAGGTGCATTTTCTTTCAGAGGGAGGGAAGAGCATGTGAAAGGCTTCAAGGTTGCATCATGGCAGCAGGTAGGGAAGGTCAATGGCTGGAGACAAGCTAAAGAAGATGGGAAGGGCCAACTGTGCAGGCCTTTAGAGCTGGTGACAAGGATCATTCCTAATCATTCCCAATGGATAAACATCTGAAGGATTTTCAGCATAGAGATGATAATCAGACTCAATTGCACAAGTCACTTGGGTGGCAGTATTCTTTTGAATGAATAAAGAAAGAATGGTAGGCATGCTCTAGGCAGTATGGTCGAGTCTCTTCTTGGCGAACTAGTTTCGATTACCCAGAGTATGAATTGAGACTGGCCCAGCTGTGACTACTGGATTTACTCCCGAGCATTTACAGGAAATGGAGAAACTTGTCTTTTTCTAGAACTGGCAGTCCACCTTGATATAATTCGGTTGTTACCTTGAAGGTCCCTTCTTCTTTTCCTTCCTGAACACAGATTTCCTTAACTCTTCCTCTGGCTTTAAGGCTCCCAGATTTTATTTTAGACTTTCCTGTATTTCTGATGCTAGTTTAGTTAGAATTTAAATCCTATTTTCCACACTGCAACCTTACCTTCTCTCATTTTTTGACTTTTCCCCATCTCTAATTCTTTTACCTATGTTGATTATTTCTGGGAATGACATTTGTTAAGATAATCTTTCTGTCATAGTTGAATGTATCTCATTCTCTCTGCCAAGCTTGTATACTTCTTGAGAGTTAGACTACCTTTTATATAAAAGGTGTGTAATATATTTATATTTTGAGTGAATAAATAGTAGCTCATGGAGAAGATGTCTTGTGATAATGTTGTTCATTACGGATTATCTATCATAAAATGAACCTCGATGTACCTGGCTAACCAAAAGCCACAGATAAACAAAAACATCCCTTTACCCTAATATCAGCTATCTCCTTGGCTATATCTTTTACGAAAACTACTAATTAGCTGAAGAGGCTGGCCTGTATTTCTTTTCGTTATCCTTCTCGTTGTGGAACTATAACACAAGGCAATAGGATGAAGAAGAGGGGAAACAAATGAAAGAGGTGAATGATATACAGAGTTGGATGATTAGATCTCAAAACTTTCCTAATTGACTGAATCTAACTTTCTAGACCCTTGTGGGTACCAAATCAAAATAAAAACAACTTTTGCAGGGGGATGGTAGAAAAAAAGGATATTATCAGCATAATAATTTTTTAAGAAAAAGGTTCTGATTTTCATCTTCATACATTAATCAAGTTCACTTTAAAACTGCTAGAAGAACTCTTGAAAAATGAAAAATATGTGCTATTGAAGGTTGTGAATATTTCTTTCACAGCACCTTATTTTAAATTTTTAGATAGATAAAATACAGACTCATTACCTGGGATCTTGCTGTAAGATCATTTTAATGCAAATTGCTTTAAGCTCATCAAATGATTGTTCATAACAGCCTCTTCCTAACAGTGCCTGATTAGGTTTTGTTCCCATGTCTGACCAAAGGTTCTGGCATGGGTGGATGATCAGATTTCTTTACTAATGAGAAATAACAGTCATAAAGATGCTACTAAGGATAGGTGTGTGATACTTGAATCAAGAGACATTGGCAATAAAATTCCAACTATTAAGCAAAGCCTTAGAGAAAAGAAGAGAAGAAAATAAGGAGCTGATTACTGGGACAATGTATTGATTCTCTGTTACTATCATAAAATTAGTTCTTTATTCAATTCAAATGAATGACACCCTTTCAGTGTTTAAGATAGGTAATTTGACCACATGACTCACAAAGCATAAGAAAGAATGTAAGAAAATATCAAAAATACTATTTGCATCTCTGATCCTGTCTACCCTACCCCTTCCTCCAACAATTACTTTTATTAATTTCCTGTGTCTTCTTTCAGAGTTTCTTCATACAACTACAACAAATATGAATAGATATTATTTTTCTTTCTTATCCAAAAGGTAGTCTGCTACATTCTTGTCCTGACATGAAAGCTTTCCATGTCACCTCACAACTTCCTCTGTTTTATAGTTGCACAGTATTATACTGTAGAGGTATAGCATGTATTTAACCAAATCTCCACTGATAAACTTTGGATTGTTTCAGTGTATCTGTAGAGTAACACTAAATTGGGATTGCTAGGCACAATGGGTTGAATTGTGTCCTCATCCACAAAAGATATGTTGAAGCCCTAAATCTCAGTACCTCAGAATGTAATCTTGTATTTGGAAATAGGGTCACTGTAAATGTAATTAGTTAAGATGAAGTTAAGATTGGAATAGGGTAGGTCCCTAATCCAATATGACTGTTGTCCTTAGAAGATGATGGCCATGTGATGACACAGAGACAAACAGGGATAACAAAGACAAAAGCAGAGACTGGAGTTATGTAGCTGCAAGCCCAGGATTACAAAGATTGTCAGAAAATCACCAAAAGCTAACAAAAGGCAAGGAAGGTGGCCCTACAGAGTTCAGAGGGAACAAGACTGCTGACACCTTGATTACAGACTTCTAGGCTTCAGAAATGTGAGATCATACAGTTTAAAACTGTTTTTTAAATCAGTACATGCATTTATAATTTGAATAGTTGTGGCCAAATTACCCACCCTCCACAAAGGGATTGTTCCAATTTACACTGTTACCAGCAAAGTATGAGAATGTCTGCTTTCCTGCAGCCTTGTAACAAGAGTGTATTTCTAATCACATAGGTGATTTTAATGCGGAACCACTTATTATGATAAATTTAATAATCTTTTCATATGTTTAAGGCCTGTTTGTATTTCCTTTCCTGTGAAATGACTTTTTCATATTCTTAATCCATTTTTTTTATTGTTAATCTTTTTTTAAAACTTATCAATTTCTAGGCACTCTTTACTCTTTATGTGTTAAGGGGATAAACACCTTGTCTATGATATGAGTAAAAATATTTCCATCAGTTTGTCATCTTTTCACTTTGTTTCTGGTGGCTTTTCTTCTTCTGTCACAGAAATCTTTAATACTGGCGCAGTTTGCTGACACTGATGCAAGCACTGAATGGACACAGTGCTTATTAACACATTAGAGTCACAGAATGTGACAAAACAAAGTTTACAGAATACTCACATCAAAATCAGGTATTTACAGCATGATCCCTAGAACTAACTCACTGCTTTAGACATTACTTAATAAACATCTCTCAGTGAAGAGTAATCAGACCATGAAAACAGAAATGGATTAGGGTTAAAGGACTGAGGAAAAAACACTGGAGAGAGTATAAAACATACAAGATCCCCTAAAATAACTCAATAAGCTTGAATTTATTGTTCAATGGCAATAACATTGAAATGGAAATAACACTGAAAAAAAAGGTAAGGTAAAAAACGGGAAGGTAAGGCCGGGCGCGGTGGCTCAAGCTTGTAATTCCAGCACTTTCGGAGGCCGAGGCGAGTGGATCATGAGGTCGAGAGATCGAAACCATCCTGGTCAACATGGTAAAACCCCGTCTCTACTAAAAATACAAAAAATTAGCTGGGCATGGTGGCACATGCCTGTAATCCCAGCTACTCAGGAGGCTGAGGCAGGAGAATTGCCTGAACCCAGGAGGCGGAGGTTGCAGTGAGCCGAGATAGCGCCATTGCACTCCAGCCTGGGTAACAAGAGCGAAACTCCGTCTCAAAAAAAAGAAAAAAAAAAAAAAACGGGAAGGTAAAGATACATGCTGCTTTAAGAACATCCTTCTTCTCACAACCTGAATTCATAAACCTCATGTTTTAAAATATGAAATT